CGAACTGCACATTGTCACTCGTAGCTGTAACCGTTAGAGTATTAGATTCAGTGTAATATTCGTAATCTGGCCTAGGTACGGATGCGTTATTACATACCCTAGGTAACAAGCTAGATCGGTTACCGGGCAAAATTGAGCTGCATAGACTAGTCTTTCCAAATAACGCATATACTAGATAACTTTCTGTTCCACCAAATTTCTTTTCGCCTTAACCTCACATACAGTCAGGTTTTGTAATCCAATTTCACGATTTTTATCCCAGTATTTCTCACAACTGAAACACTGTACACAACAATATTCAATTGAAAACTACCAAATCATCTGTAACAATATATCGCAAATTCACATTTTACTCGCGTCTTAAATATCTATTACCCATCCTTAAACATTTAAGGGGATATCTATCCACGTTGGAATAGCAAGGCGTGTTTCAACACTTTAAACGAGCAGCGAACTCACCATGGAGTGTATTCTTACCGCTCGGAATTCACCCAAATACTCTGGTCGTTCCTTTTCTTTTGATTACTTCTAAATTTTGTTAACAAATTTAAAGACCTCGCTAACCGTTACGGCCTACGTAACAATTTTAATCTGTGCGCAAGTGGGTCCGTGGGCATCTGGGTCGAAGAAGATTTCAATCCGTGCGCAAGTGGTCAGTGGGCACCTGGGTCCGTGGATATTACGAGATCCGTGGGCCGTGGGCAAGTAGTCCGTGCGCATCTGGTTCCGTGGGCAAGTGGTCTGTGCGCATCTGGGTCCCTCCGTAAATTACCAACACCATCCAGAGTACAAATAGGTAAAGAAGGCAAAGCAGTGAGCGCCATCTGTCGTGTGAAAAAGTAAATAGACGTGCGAAGGCGACGACGGACCTGAAATAAAATCATCTCGCTCGCCTTTCACGACACTTTGATGTCGTACATTAATCTCATTGATTTTGATAGCAATTAATTCAGAACCCTCTATTCCTAGAGTGAATGTATTGTTACGTCTCGGCCTTCCTGTATACCTCATTCGCCTACCTATACATATACACAGCCACTTATACCCATAACCAACCCATAGTTATACCCTCACCTATACATATACTATACACACTACATATGCCATTATCTTTACCGACAGTACTAGACAAGTATATAAGTCGACCAATCGTCTAATATAATGAATTCCTATGATTTATACTTATTAATTTACATTTTTGCTTTGTTTTATATTCCACTTATATTGTTGGAATCCTCAACTGAAACACTGTACACAACAATATTCAATTGAAAACTACCAAATCATCTGTAACAATATATCGCAAATTCACATTTTACTCGCGTCTTAAATATCTATTACCCATCCTTAAACATTTAAGGGGATATCTATCCACGTTGGAATAGCAAGGCGTGTTTCAACACTTTAAACGAGCAGCGAACTCACCATGGAGTGTATTCTTACCGCTCGGAATTCACCCAAATACTCTGGTCGTTCCTTTTCTTTTGATTACTTCTAAATTTTGTTAACAAATTTAAAGACCTCGCTAACCGTTACGGCCTACGTAACAATTTTAATCTGTGCGCAAGTGGGTCCGTGGGCATCTGGGTCGAAGAAGATTTCAATCCGTGCGCAAGTGGTCAGTGGGCACCTGGGTCCGTGGATATTACGAGATCCGTGGGCCGTGGGCAAGTAGTCCGTGCGCATCTGGTTCCGTGGGCAAGTGGTCTGTGCGCATCTGGGTCCCTCCGTAAATTACCAACACCATCCAGAGTACAAATAGGTAAAGAAGGCAAAGCAGTGAGCGCCATCTGTCGTGTGAAAAAGTAAATAGACGTGCGAAGGCGACGACGGACCTGAAATAAAATCATCTCGCTCGCCTTTCACGACACTTTGATGTCGTACATTAATCTCATTGATTTTGATAGCAATTAATTCAGAACCCTCTATTCCTAGAGTGAATGTATTGTTACGTCTCGGCCTTCCTGTATACCTCATTCGCCTACCTATACATATACACAGCCACTTATACCCATAACCAACCCATAGTTATACCCTCACCTATACATATACTATACACACTACATATGCCATTATCTTTACCGACAGTACTAGACAAGTATATAAGTCGACCAATCGTCTAATATAATGAATTCCTATGATTTATACTTATTAATTTACATTTTTGCTTTGTTTTATATTCCACTTATATTGTTGGAATCCTCAATTATGAATTATGTTATCTCTTATATGACCGGAAAATGTTACGCTTATTATTCTATCAGGCATTATGTTCATAAGGAATTTGTCATACTAATCCTTTATTATGTCTTTAAATAAAAGATAAACCTGAAGTTCCTCGAAATTTGCAGTACTCGCAAGGTTTCAGGTAGAGAATTGGAAGACTCAGGTATGCAGCAACAGACAGATAATTATTAGTGTTCTGATTTGTTAACTAATCAATAAGGAAGGGAATCAAAGACCAATTAAATTCAGAAGAAGTAATGGAAGGGGTAAGAAACGAAATTGTTAAACAGGGTTGGAGAGACGGAAAAGTTTTGTAAGTGGAGTTCTTGTAAGAAAAGTTCGAGTCTGAGTTCGGAATTTTAGTGCAGTTCAAAGTCTGAGTAGAAGTAGAAGTCGAAGTCGAAGTCTAATGTTCTAGAGTTATAGAATTCTAGAGACTTGTAGTCTTTTCATCTTCAATTCAATTCTTCTAAGTTCTTATATACAAAAGTGAAGTATCAAAGTCAGGTTTAAGAATAATCATTCGAATAAGTGAAGCATACCTGGCGCTTCTGTTCTGCGAGTTTGTGAATCATCATCACTACTATTATTTACAATCCATCCAAACCATCTCATTGAACCGGTACTACTTCCACAGAAATCATAAAATAAGGAACAGTTGGATTCCATTGGAAATCATTAGGGTAAGCCTATGAGTACATTCACATATAATCAGGTACACACAACAATTCATTCATATCCAGAATACCCGAGCAAAGAAACAATGAGTTCGTTCAGTTAAACCTTGTTCTCGTTCCATAAGTCATGATTCCATATCAGACTCAGGAAACAATCCTCGTCAGACCGATCGGCAAATTTCCTGGAACCTATTCCCTATTCCTTCCGAATCTTTATCTGTTGCAACAATTAACATAGCACGTAGTAGACATACTAACAGTCCTCCTCACACCGATCGGCAAATTCCCTGGAACCTATTCCCTATTCCTTCCAAATCTTTATCTTCAGGAACAATTAACATATCACGTAGACATACTAACGATTTTAGGCAATCATTAGAAACCGTAGTAATACTATACAAGTCGCATGCGGTAGCAAGAAATAAACAGTCAAAGACAGGACCGACCTAACGCGTGGACGTATCGTTTAACACCGGCAAATCTGACCAGCGGACCATTCTAACTACCTTTTCTAAGTCAACATTCACTGAATCTTCATAACTCTCAATTGTTCCTTTTTCATATCACACATAAAACATAACCATATTCCGCGTATTTCAGGGAGCGATCGTAACAATATCAATAACTTTTCGTCACACATAGTCGTTCATAAGATATTTAAATTGAAACACAGGTACATACAAGAGATGTTTCGAGTAAAGAGTCTCGGCGGGCCGTGCCCTGTACAGCGGTTTGCCTATATTTGGCGCGAAACTCGACCGAGTTTCTTGATGCAACCAAACGTTATTAAAGCAGATAAGCTCCTTAATTAGCGCATAAAAAGAATTTTGTAATAATTGGAAAGGCACATTTAAACAAGATAATCCCGTTTTAACGGAAAGATAGTTGCACATGTATAGTATATAATTGATCACAACCATTGTAACTGATCCTCGACGAACGTGCGTTACTTACTATGAGTTATAGATTATAATAATAAGGGAAAATTAATAAATTGCACATGACATCTCACACTCTCTTATGTTTCTAGAAATTACAACTACACTGCAACATTACAGGTGAATGAGGGGAAAGAGAGAGAGAGAGAGATCACGGCAAACAAGGAACGAAAACGGTACGGACAGTAATGTTGAACGGAATACCCAGAAGTGATGTGCCTAAAGAGCATTTTACTATGGCAACGCGGAACCACACACTTCAGGACTCCTACAAATTACCTTTCCCGTCCCCTTACTAGCCTCACGTCCAAGATGATTCGGTCAATGCATTAACCTAAAGAGGAATCCGCGATCGAAGACCTATAACCAGAATGCTATTGGGCAATCGGGTGCAACAGCCCCGGATCTCGCCATAACACGTTGTGGCCGTCCGTAGGACGCACAGAAATTCATTGTCTTCGCGTCTAAAATGAGGCACGTTAAGTATGTCGAAATGCTTTGCATTAGCCATCTTTCAGTCAACGGCTTTTCGTCATGTTTTTATTAATTTTACATAATGCTTCATAAAAGGCTGCAACACTTTTACGACGTCTAACACGCAACATACGTAGAATCGAGACAACATTTTTTCTTTGAAACTCTTGAGTAAGAGTGCATATGCATAAAACAAGTGTTGAAGCGTGCATACTTGAGGCCATAAATTTAAGGATTATACAAGAAGTCGGTCAAACGAGTACTTGACTGTCGCGACGGCTCAGGTAGCTCGGCGTCAGTAAAGTCCCAAGGAAAAGGAAAGAATGCAAGTATGGATGTAAAACAGATATGAGTGATTTTGGGTACGACTTTGTATTAGAAGATAGGCTAGAGTTAATTCGACTGTCGAATAGTGCGGCCGTGTTCGTAACCTGTAGTTTTGCTTTTGTGTCCCTTTGTAATAAAACATCTTAACTCTCATTACAATCATTTTTCACCACTCCCATTACGATCCTTACTTTTCAGTTTATCCCCATGTCATTATTAATATTCGTATAGTAATATTCTTTCTTCTACACATATGTATTGTCTGTCTGCTATGACAGAATGATTTTTGTAGAATATCACATTCGAGAACTATGAATTATACTGAATGAAATATAAATTAGAATATCTTGATACTTACTGCTTAAAACTGTGGATGTTTTTATTCAAAAACAATTTTAGCGATTGCAAATTTCCTAGGATTTGAATTATTTGTGCAGGTGGTACGGCGTTAACTATCTGCAACATAAATTGTACATGATATTATAACGTTTGCACGAAAACCACCTAATAATGAAATATCATCATACATTCCCTCCGATAACCAACTTTGAAAAACTTTTTCTGTTGTGTAGAATCGTCATCACATTTTATATCCAGTGACACACAAGTTTCATCTACTTATCAACTTTTTCTTCTTATCGTTTTGTCTCTTAACCAGTTAGCTGTGGCGAAGACGAAAGACGAATGTACTCGTCAAACACAGAGTAAGTATCTCTGTTAAAATATTGGATCAAAACGACGTTATTATTTTATAAATTTAGTAGCTTTACTACTAATATTTAATTATTCATTTAAAGGATTAGACTACTGTGAAATTTTCAAATTTTCAAAAATTTTGTTTATCTTTAAAAAATAGTATGAAGTGTTTAGAATAATATGCAAAAGGTTCCATGTAGATATTCGAAGTATTTTTGTAGTTATAGTGTTTGTAGCGAAGGAAGAATTTGATGCGCATATAGTTAATGAGGATACTTTTTATTTTTGATTCAGACCAACCATATTTGCGAAATCGTGTACACCGATCAATGGCGCACGGAAAATTTTAACCGACGTGAAGAAGAATAACGTGTGGATATTTCAATGTTTTTTTATGAAAATTTTTACACACACATTTATAGTTTTTCCTAATCAAATTTCCAAAAATAAGCCAGTTTGGACGTCGACTACAGTAACTTAATACTACATACATAATAAACGAAAAATGCAGGAAAAATCAAATACATGCAATTGTCAAGTGGCGAACCGTATCGGATAGAACTCTGTCATAAATCAGTCGCAGACTTTAGAGATAGACTAGCTGCCTTTCGACTTTTGCTTTTACATCTAAGAAATGTTATCATCGCACATAAATGAATTCGTTATGCGAACTTATAAGCTGTTTCAGCCAATGCATACGGGGACGCATGAGTTTATCTGAAATTAATCATATTTTTGTTTGTTTGTTTTATTTCCGGCCTGGCCTAAAAATATTTTAAACATCTTGAAATTTGAGAATATGTTTTTATTTTCAATAAAATTACAATTTAAATAGCCAATGGTCACTACTTTTTACGCATGACGAGAATACTTGTCATGACATGAAATACCTGCTACTTCTCCATGACGAGTTTACTCGTCAAACACACATAAATGGTTAAACCTCTTAATTACCCTGTAAAAGAAATTACGTGAAAAAATTGTTAGAATTATTAATTTTAAAAAACTTGTAGTATGCTCCATTGACAGCGCGGTGGAGCATACGGTCTTGAGCGGTTGCCCCGCTGTACGTCTCTCCACATCTCGAACGGCCCACTACTCTACCAGGCGCGCCAACCGATTGTCACCCGGGTTCCTCGAGCAAAATTTGCAAATTTAGAAGTTTTCTTAAATGAAAAATTTAACCCCTTAACAAACTCGTTTTAGAATTTTCAAAAGCGCGTTTTAATCGTTGAAATTTCAACTACGACATGGGGTAAATACGAAATTTCTATTGCATTGCATTCCTAATGAAACATGACGGGGAAGCTTCGGGTGCGCTTACGATGTCTCGAAATCTGTCATGGGATCGTTTCCAAAACAATAATTTTGCGACAATCTGCAGTATCGTTAAAGACAGTAGAACGCAGAAACTGAACCAAATTAACCGGCACGTTCGGAAGTTATGGTCAATTAATTATTTTCATTTCAAGGGGGTGTAGCTCCCCCTAGAATAATACTACATGGGTACAATGGGGATGTTTTTGACTACTGAAAGATGCTCTTTCTCGTGCCATAATTAGAAATATGAACTTACTTTCGGAACTGCTAATTCTCGACATTTTCACAAAGGTCCAAAATGCACTATGTCACTCCAACCCTTGCGATTCAAACGGGAAGGAAATTTCGTAAAAAATATGTTTTTGGTTTTTTGAAATCGGTCATAATTTCCCAGAAATACAATAAAATTCCAATGTTCCACTTCAATTGGACGTTACAGTATATCAAAGAATTTAATAATCTACACTTCGAATCAGCAACAAAGATAACCATGAAATGGAAACGAAAGGAATGAATCTAAGAATCGAGTAGACAATAGATAGTAGTAGATGAAGTAAAAAATCTCAACCTGACAGTCAATTAATCCGAAAGATCAAAAAATCCAAACTGAAAATTCCAATCTTGGATGTAACATATGTGACAGTTCTTGGGTTGAATTTCTCCTACACAGTGTTCAGCTTGTTGATGCCGTGTGGTAAACGCAAAAGAGGAGAGTGTGCTGGATTATTAACGTACCTCAGACCGTGCGAACAACAAAAAGGATACTATAGTTTGAGCGAAGTGCCAAAGCGTTGCTCATTGCACACTTTTCTGGACACTATGGACTTCTACGTCCGACATCTAGATACAAGAAACTACAGAGCGGAACACCTGGACACCCTGGACTTCTACATCCGATTCTTAGATACAAGAAACTACGGAGCGGAACACCTGAACGCCCTGGACTTCTATATTCGACAGCTAGACACAGGAAACTACGGAGAGGAATACCTGGACACCCTAGACTTCGACATCCGACACCTAGATACAAGAAACTACGAAGTGGAGCACCTGGACATCCTATATCTCTAAAAACTGTCACCTAAAATACGAGGAACTATGTCGAAGCACACACATACATACACCCGTACACACGCGCTCCACATGAAAGAGTTAATAATTCTGTACTATTGTGAAAGCAGCCTTATATTAACTAGAAATTCGGTGTCAACGGTAGCTTCACATACAAAGTGTATTTGATTTTGTTGTGTATTCGTAAATTTCCAACACCATTCAAAAGTACAAATAGGTAAAGAAGGCAAAGCAGTCAGCACTATCTGTCGTGTAAAAAAGTAGATGGACGTGCGAAGACGACGACGGACCTGAAATAAAATCATCTCGCTCACCATGTGAATACGCCATGACCTCGTACACTAATCGTATTGAACTTGGTGTCAATCGATTCAGAACCCTTGATTCCTATAGTGAATGTATCAATAACTTTTTCTCACACATAGCCGTTCATAAAATATTTGAGTCGAAACATAGGTACAAGAAATGCTTCGTATTGCGTATGATTGAGTCAACTTGTTTTTCCATCTCCCTACCCTCTATTGCTATTTGCGCTTTTCTAGTTAGTAGATCCCCTCTGGATATTGCCAGCCGTCTTCATGTGGAGCGGCCCATTGCATTGTAGCTTCTTTTGTATTTCAGACGAGCCTTCCGCCCAAAAGCTCGAAAAAGCCGTGCGCGCGCCCTAGTTTTAGTATTTTTGCGTTCCTTTCTAGCAACCCTCCGTACCCTCCTTTCCCGCCACCGGCCCTTTTCAGCGTACCCACAACCGAGGTAATTATAAGCAGCCATTTTCGCATTCGGGAACCTTTGTCCCTAAGACCGCTCACCTCTTCGCTCCGCTAGCCGTGCCATTCTCAAAAAGTAAACATTCGAGGACTTTTCGGAGTCACTCGACGGTGATACGCCGTATAAGTAGCTGGCGCCCAGGTTTTGTTTGTGTGCTATTTCGTGCCGGTAAGCCCTCCCTGCCCTGCCCTTCCACCTTGCCCATTGCGTATCCCTCTGTCCCCGGATTCCCCTTTCCACCAAGCCTGTTGAAAGTCCTCAAACACCGCGTGCTCCTGAGCGAGCACCCACGTGTATTGTTTTAGTTGCGTGTTTAGTTTAGTATTGCGTTTTTTAAGTTATTATATCTCCTTTATCTTTTCCGTTCTATTACTGATTTCTTTTATTTTTATATATTCTCTTGTATGTACTCCGACATCTTTCATATTAATTATATTTTGTTAATCATACCCCGTGTCCCCTTTTCTTTTCGCGACCTCTCCCTTATTGCGATAGCTGTCTTCGAGAGACCCTGGGTAGAATAACCTGCCCAGTACGTCACAATATATGTGTAAATCGTAAATTTAGACTTGCTAATACAATAAAATCAAATACAATTACTACTGGTATAACAAACAAACCTCCATGTCAATTTATATTTTAAATATGTTTAAAATAACTTCAATTTTACCTGAATCTTGTTGTTGACATTATCTTGCTTGATACACCGAACATTCCATATGGGCCTGAATATTCTACCTACATATAGATACAAGCCATCATGTTTTGCAGAAAATTGTTGCAAAGATTGATCTAAAGTAAGACCGGATTGTGTGAAAGGTCTAATTGCGTGCAGCGAAGAATCAAAAGCGTGAATCCTTGGAGTGGATGTCCGAATATCACCTGCAACAAACATAAGTAGTGAAACACTTGATATAAAGTCTTGTGTTTCTAGTTTACGAAATATAGCGACAAGACGATAAAACAAATATTTGAAACTTTGGACTTTTTATCTGTTTGTGCCCCTGTAAGCAAGAAAGAAAGTTGTTGAATTGTAATGGCAACTAGTACCTAATGGTTTTATAAATCGCTGAATAAAAATTCCAGATCAAAATTCAAAATGGTGGATCCAATATGGCGAATCAAAATGCAAAAAGTCACTTAATTAGCATGAAACTTATAAGGAATGTCACTTTAGTGTTTCCCTCCGATTTCGATGAAACTCAACTATGTTGTAGCGCATAAAAATCTAAGAGACACGTGTTTTTTTTTTATCGGCGGAAAAACGGTTTTAGGGGGAGTAGTATAAGTATGGGAGTTTTGAATATAGATTCCTGCACCGACATAATACCGACACTCCAGAGCCTTTGAAGGTGGGTGTCCGTGCTAAGTTACCGTCGTGAGCTCTACGATTTCTGGAAGTGACGTCATCAGGACCCTCGATTCCAAGAATTTTCCTTCGATTTCGGGAATTTTGCGTCACATTCCGGGAATTTTGCGCTCGATTCTAGGAATTACGCACGATCGAGAACCTTCTAGAACCTTCTAGAACCTTCGAGAACATTCTGGAAGCTTCAACGGTTCGTGTCCGTGCTAAGTCGGGAAGGATCGCTCCCAGAGCCGGCG